GATAAAATTAAATTTTTAAATTGATATAATTAATAATAATGAATAATATTTATATTAAATCTTAATAATTTTCATTATTCTTTATATTTTCTGACTTATATTTACTTTGATTTATAATCCCACGTTATCAAATAATCTCCATCATTACTCATTCCTCCATATAAAGAATTTGTATCAAAATGAATAGATTATTGAGTTACAAATTCTGCATTTAATTTTTTTCTTATCAAATTGACATATTAGCCATTCTTACTCATGAGAATACATTTTTAATTTATATATTATTAAGGAAATAAATAATTACTATCTGATCCACATTTTACATGAATATCTCTAGTCTTTGTAAATTATTGATTAATACTGTTCATTTCATAAACAGATATCTATTCTTTTGATTATTATGATAATGTAAACATATTATTATCAATAAAACATATTCTAAATGCATGTGATTCAACTGTAATCTTTTAGATAACAATCCATTCTTTATTCTATCCTTATTATTCCATTATTAATATTAATTTATCTAAACCACAAGATACCACTTTATTTTATTATTAATTAACACTTAATCCATAAACACTATTAGAATGATCTTTAATTGTTTATTAACATATCCATTCATTCTTTTTTATCCAAAATTTAATACTATTATCATAACTTCCAGATATGATTAAATCTTCATTATTATTTAATATTAAACAATAGATATAATTAGTATGTCCATTTAATGTCTATTAGGGAATCCATTAATTATTTTGATTTAATTACCATATAATAATAGAATTATCATGACTACCAGATATAAACTAATTTGATTTATTCATAAAATTTAGAGTATGTACATTATTCTTATGTTCATTTAAAATTTAAGTTTATTTGATCATTCCTTAGTTGAATTCAAATACTTTAATTTAATTATTACATCCAGTCAATAATGTTGAACAATCTTTATTAAAAGTTATTGCACCACAAAATTCATTTTATGAATATTAATGAATTAATTCATAAATAAATGATTTATTATTAAATGATTATATTTATTAATTTGATTATGATTATTTATTAATTTAAGATTTATTTATGATTAATGGTTATATGTCTTAATATAATTATTATGGAAAATGTAAATTATGAAAATGAATTTAAGATAAGTTAAATGTTGGTAATATTTAATAATTAATTTGATAATTATTATTGATAGAATCACAATTATTATTAAGAATTTAATCTAAATAATTATCAATTTTATTGAATGAAGACTATTAAATTTATATATTAAATAATATTACTTCTATTTAATTTTATACATCTTCTAAACATTCTATTATCTTTTATTAAATAACATCACTTTTAATTTCAATCTAATTATTCATTATTTTTTATATTTTTATTAATCAAATCATAATAATCTATATTTATTATTTATAATATAAAATATATATATATAAGAATATTCTAGAATTTATTATAATTCTATTAATATAAATTTACTACACATAATTAAACATATTAGATATTTATAAAAGTGGAGAATATTTTTATCTTATAATTTTTTAATATTTCATATCTTTTGAAACATTTCAAACTCTTGAATCATCTTTAATTTAAAATCTTTGAATTATAATTACCAGATTAGAAAAATGTAAGAATCAAATTTAATTTACAATGGATTTGATAAAAATGGTAAATAAATAATTTAAGTTTGACATTCTTATTGAAAAAACCAAATTGAGGATGACAATTATGTAGAGGAAAAATATCTTTGATTTTTTTTGGTCCTATATTGAAACTAAAATATTCGATTGATATATATTTAATTAAATTTCTTTATAAATACAATAAAACATTAACAATATTAATTTTATTTTATTATTATTGCATACAGATAAATTAAGTTAAATATTTTTAGAATAATTGATAATAACGTTCTAATATATTGTTTCATTTGGTTCACACATCTAGCCTTAATATTAAGCTTAAGCTTATCTATTAAATTAAATTTAAATAATAATTTTTGGATAAAATTAAATCGATATTGACTATCAAAGCAATTATCTAGAATGAAAATTTTTTAAGTATGTTAATTTCATTTTAATGAGTTTAAGATTACATTTAATTATTTTAAGTCGAATTACTTATCCTAGTATTATTATATATGAGTCCATATTTAATTGTGCTTATTAAATTTATGTATCAAATTATTTAATTTAAACTTTCTTACAGATAATATAAATTAAACTTAATATAAGAATTAATATTAGCAATTGGACCTATATATTTTTTACATTAAACCCTATCTCTTCAATACTAAGTTTTAGGATATGATAATGTTAAAAAGAGATAATTCAAACTATTGAAAAAAGAACAATTATGTTTTTTCTTAATTTCTTTTTTTTAAATATTTGATTATTATATTAATAATCACTCTTCATAAAAATTATCAATCAGAAGTAGAAATTAGCTTTTATCATCAGTTCGTTATTCAAAAGTATTGTTAAGTTTTAATTGAAGATGCTCTTTGAATAAATTTTTTATTTGTATCAAGAAAAGCTTAAGCTAAAGGTAAAATTGAAATATCTTTTTAAAATCTGCAAATTTCGTATTCAATTTTCCTCTTAAAGAACCCGATTGGTTTTTAAAATATTATAAAAATTTTAAATTCTGCCCTTTATCATCAAAATTTATTGAATGTTCAATTAAGTATCATTTTGATAAATTCGGAAAGCTAATTTCCATAAATCTACATTAAAATAAAGAGTTAAGTTAAATTTTAGTGTTTTAAATGTCTAAACATTAATTTTAAATACAATTAAATGAAATTTGATTAAGAATCAAAAAGATGATGAATAATAAAATTGAATTTATAAATTGATTAAAATATAAAATTATAAAAATATAATAATAATATTTATATTAAATCTTAATAATTTTCAAGATTCTTTATATCTTCTAACTTATATTTAATATGATTTATTATCCCAAGTTATCAAATAATCTCCATCATTACTCATTCCTCCAAATAGATAATCTGTATTAAAATGAATAGATTATTGAGTTACAAATTCTGCATTTAATTTTTTTCTTATCAAATTGACATATTAGCCATTCTTACTCATGAGAATACATTTTTAATTTATATATTATTAAGGAAATAAACAAT